GATGGTAGGTAGTAGGTACCTTCTATTTATTTTATTAATATGTAATATTAACATGACATATTAAGAATAGATATATTATAAGAATTATTTTTAACGTTTTAAACGGAAACTTCATTCTAGCAGACATTCGGCTTCGGTCGACCCGGGAGATTTTAAGGACCAGGAGATCATGAGGTTCTGTGTGCACTGCGGCGGCGGCGACGGCTACCGTCGACCGCCCGACGCGGCAACAACGTCCGGGTCCTGCGCTCCTGGTACGTCTACGTCTCCCGCGGACCGCGTACGAATGAACAGCGTATGTTGAACGTGTTGAATCGCGTTGAACGTGCGTCACACACAATATATTCGTATTATATTCGACTACTCGTCGCGGGGATAACGTTCTGCCGTCGACACATGCCACTCGTCGCGGCAATATCGTTCAGCCTCCGACAACTGTGACTCTTCGCGGCAATATCGTTCGGCCGCCGACCGGTACATTGATGTACCTTGTGTAACTCGTTTGTACGTCATCCGTATTCGTTGTATTCGTAGGCCGCGCGCACATTGGATACGAAATTGTTACGTATAAAAAAATAAGAATACCGGTCGTACGAGAGCGCTCACTGAATGTGTTTTTATTACACCTACTCCAACATCACTATCACACATTACATATACGAATATTAATAAACTTACTGTTTTCATAAAATTAACATGGAATATGATACATTTAACCAGCTCTACGATTTCTTAGTACCCTAGTTATAAATTCATATAGACATGAATGCTTGACATACTAAACATTATTTGACAAATTTTCGAAAAATAAGAATTATGTAAGTACTTATATCGAGTGACTATGTCTATTACGAAATTAACATCTGTTTAGCGGTATTTTGTGATTATATTCGTATGAAGAAATCGGTCGTACGACTGATTTTAGTAAGATTGTAACGCAATGTAGAGTGTACGTGAAGACTGGTTTTTGTATACGACAGAATAAATATTATCACAATCATTGGCAAATGAGGCACACATTTACCTTTGTCGAGATGAGGTCGATGGGACTCTATAAAACCTATAATGCTTTGTATTTGGTCGTAGGTTACAGAGCCAGATTTCATTTTTTTTTCCAAAGACATATTGTTTTTTTAAAGGCAAATAAAAATTAGCCGATCAATAATCACACACATTACAAGAATAACTTGAGTATACGGGAAATATTACGGTAACCATTACAACATAATATTAATTAACATTACGCTTTAAACTTATTATATTTTAACCATAAATGGAGATTTGTCTGTTTTATCATAAGCTATTAAATAGTATCAATCTCGATAGTTACACAATTTTGAATGCAATACGAAATTATAATTTCAGAATTCAACTATAATTAGAATACGAATAAAAATTATTTTTAACGTTTGGAAAACGTTCGGCTTCGGTCGACCCGGGAGATTTTAAGGACCAGGAGATCATGAGGTTCTGTGTGCACTGTGGCGGCGGCGACNGACGTCTCCCGCGGACCGCGTACGAGTGAACCGCGTATGTTGAACGTGTTGAATCGCGTTGAACGTGCGTCACACACAATATATTCGTATTATATTCGACTACTCGTCGCGGGGATAACGTTCTGCCGCCGACAACTGCGACTCTTCGCGGCAATAACGTCCTACGACCAAATACAAAACATTATAGATTTATAGAGTCCCATCGACCTCATCTGGACAAAGGTAAATGTGTGCCTCATTTGCCAATGATTGTGATAATATTTATTCTGTCGTATACAAAAACCAGCCTTCACGTACACTCTACATTGCGTTACAATCTTACTAAAATCAGTCGTATGACCGATTTCTTCATACGAATATAATCACAAAATACCGCTAAACAGATGTTAATTTCGTAATAGACATAGTCACTCGATATAAGTACTTACAT